TCAAAACTGTACCAGTTTATTTGACAACTAGCTAGCATATCTTTTTCCTTTTTGTTTAGTCAGTCAGGTGTCTCACACATAGAATTTTACGGCACAGAAGAAGGCCATTCAGAGTATTGTGCCTGTGCCGGCTCCCTCAAGAGCAATCCTTTCAGTCCCATTTACCTGCCCTTTCCCCATATCCCTGAAGCGGATTCTTTTTAAGGTATTTCTCTAGTTCCCTCCTGAAACCAATTTGGATTTTGCCTCAACAACCGCTCCCGGTAAAATATATCATATCCTATCTACTCTGTGTGTGAAAAAAATTCTTCAAACTTCCCCATTTGCTCATTTCTAATGTTTTAATTGATGTCCTCTAGTTACTGACTCACTGACCAGTGGAAATAATTTCTCCCTGCTAACTCTATCAAAGCCCCTCATAATTTTAAAGACCTCTATCAGATCACCCCTCAACCTTCTTTGTTCCGGTGGAAAAAGTCCCAGTTCCTGTAATCTCCACTCATAGGCCAAACCATTCATCCCCGGTATCAGCCAAGTACATCTCTTCTACATTACCTCGGTCGCCTTGACATCTTTCTTAAAAAGGGTTGACCAATACCGGATACAATATTCCAAATGCAGTCTAACTAATCATTTATATAAGTTTAGCTTTACCTCTTTGATTTTATATTCTTTATCCCTACTTATAAAACCCAAGATTCTGCTAGCTTTTTTTGACAGCTTTGTCCACCTGCCTTTCCACCTTTAAGAATTGATTTACATCAACCCCCAAGTCCCCTTGCTCTTCTTCTCCTTTTAATATTTTACCATCCAACATATATGTGTTCTCTTATTCTTCTTCCCAGAATATTTAAACCCCATATTTATCTATATTAAATGTCATTTGCCATTTCTCTGCGCAATCAACTAATCTGTCTATATCCCCCTGAAATTGCTTACAATCTTTTTCATTGTTAGCTCTCTATTTTTGTGCCACCTACAAAATCAGAAATTGTGTTCCTCTTACCAGAATCCAGATCATTCATATAAATGGATAAAAGCAGTAGTCCTAACACTAACCCCTGGGGACACCACGATTTACATCCCTCATATGGTTCACACTTGAAAACCTGTCACCAAGTTTAAAAGATCCAAACCATACAAAGTCCCACATATGCAAGCCATGTTATGCATGGATTACTTACTCCTGTTAGAATTTGCCATGACTTCAATTTGGTGACATCAGCGAATCTAACATTCTGCTCAAGAAATGGTAAAACTCATTTGAACAGCAGGCAGAATGGAGAAACATATACCTCTGGTGACTACTAAACTGAGAAACTAATACTTTATTTATGCTGGATCCTAAATCTAATCTCAATCAATGTTTATGATCCCAATTTCACCAGAGTGGCCCCAATTACATTAAAAGGTTCTCAGCAGTGTGCTTTCATTACTGGTGGCCATGCTGCCTTCAGTAATACATGCACAGTATGACCAAGCACACTCCATTTCTGCCTGTGCCATATATCCCTAAGTAAAGAGTGTGACAAATTAATTGATTCATAGTGGATGGGGAGTAGGAAATTGAGGTTTAACATAATAAACGTTAAAAATAACTGCTGCAAGCTAGGCTCTAAAGTAAATCATGGTCATCATTTGGGATAGACATCAGTTTGTAATCTGTGTGTGATTTACATTGCAGCATCTCTAGACTTGTGGATTTTCCTGTTGGTGTGATTATTAAGTACAAAATTCAGGAATTCAAACCATTTACACCATGCTAACAAACATTAAAAGGTACCAGCACTGTATTCAAACTGGAGATTATCTGGACAATGTCAAATAGGATATAATACTGCAATTATTAAGTAACAATGAAGTTGTGTTTTAAGAACATTATTACCTTTAACAAAGTTGTTCTACAATGTAGAATTCACCGTATATATTTGTCATGTGTTTTATAGATACTCATTTTCACATAATTTAATGAGTTATGTTTTCAAACATTACGGTACGCCACTGAATGTTTGACATAAAGTATTAATTTTTCTTATATGAGAAAGACCCTAGTAAGTAGAAATGCAATATAGCTGAAAAAAATGTTTTGAATGTACTTTCATGGTGCACAAGATAAATGCAAGCAAGATAACAACTGTGTGCATAATAAATTGAAAACGTGTCTCTTAGTTGTGAGTGCCTTAGTTCAGGTTGGTTGGTCAGTCCTGTCAGATCAGTCGGTCTGGACTTTCCCCACCTCCAAATATATTGGGATAATAATAATAATCCTTGCATTTGATATAGCGCCTTATCACAACTTCGAGACGTCTCAAAGCGCTTCACTGTGAAGTGAATTGACTGTATATTTTGTGGGCGATTCTCATCAACATAGTGGGATTCTCATCAATATAGCGGGATTCTCATCAACATATTGGGATGTTGTTGCTGCAGAATGGAACACTTCCAGTTCTGTCAGGATCGGAAATTTCTAGATAGAAAAGGAGCCAAGTGCAAAAATAAAATTCTCTTTTCTTTGCCTTAAGAGTAAATTCTGTAGCTTAGCGGTTAGAGCACTTGCTTAGCAAGCGAGAGGACCTGGGTTTGATTCCCGGGCAGGCTGAAACGTTGGGCAAGTTTGTTTACTCCACACACCTCTGTTTACCTAGCAGTAAGTAAGAACCCAGTTGTTAGATGATTGGCATATCGCTTTTCCTGGGGTAATAATCCCTTTTTAAAAAAATTACAATCAATAATAATAATGTGGTCACTCAATCCACGACTGCTTGTAGGACACTGCTGTGTGCAATTGGCTGCCGTGTTTCATCCACAAAATATACAGTCAATTCACTTTACTGTATATTCTGTGAAGCGCTTTGAGATGTCTTGAAGACATGATTAGGTGCTATATCAAATGCAAGGATTATTATTATATTCTTAACTCTAAACACAGAAGAGCACTCCTTTCTCCTAGACACAGGTGTGAATTTTATCACTTTCTACACTCACCTTTCTTCACTGAGAGAAAGAGCCAATTTAGTGCTAAGATTTAGTCATCTTGCTACTGAGGGCCTTGTAGCAACCAGGTTAAGGAGATTAAGTGCTAAGAGTCACGAATATTTGGCGCCAGAACTGTGGAGGAAGAAGTGGGGTACACGAAAGGCAGATGACATCTAATATGATGCATTAGCTTCACCTTAAAATTTCAATGTTCTATGCTTTTGACCCTCTCATGTTGGTTTTAAACAACACACATTTTAGATGTTTTATTTTAATTCAAAGCTGGCTGATTCTCAATTTACAGCCCTAAAATGGGCAGATTTTGGAGTTTAGAATGTCCCAAATAATATTATGCTTACTATAAAACCGTCAGTTGGCACAAGATCCACAAGTTCATTCAGTAGTAAGTTTTAATTTATCCAAACACAGTGGATAAACTAATAAATGGACGGTAACTTTAATCCTATGGACAATTACATCAAGCCCAAACTAACAAGACTGTGCATGACCAGCAGTAATTATGTTGGTGCACTGACATAGTACAGTGTGGGTTCCCCAGCCTTTGATCTCTGCTCATCGGTTTGGGAAAATTCAAGCAGAGACAACTCATTTCCCCTGAGAGAGGACAAGTCATTTCGATGCATGATAAAGAGTGCACAGCAAAAGATCCAGAGGCAGATCTTCAAACTCTCCTTTATCAAGGAATATGCGAACAGGGCAAAAAACGTAAGGAAGGATTACAACTCAGGCAGGGGGAAAATCTATAGGTTATTTTAAACAGAGAAATGTATGTTACATTCAGACATTGCATTAAAAATGACCAGACAAAAAGTTGTTAATTAATTGACCAAGCAATGGTCCAGCTACCATGTTACTCCCTGAAAATATGTGCACATTCAGCAAATGCTACAGCAAATAAAGATGTAAAATCCAGAGATGTTTGTGGGAAACAAATGAATTGTTAAAACCCCTTTCCTTGACTCCTGCAAATCCTGCCAAGCGAAACACAATAAATCTTAAAGAGCGACAATCGGACCCAATCAGTTCCTGCAAACACTTAGTCATAACCAATTTAATAGGAAAATAAATGTCAATTAAAATAGCCAACTCCATTTGCAAGACAAGACGTACGATAAGTCGCGTGTTTTAAAGTGACATTTTTTCCTTGTAACATTTTTTATAAAATGAAAGTAAGATGTAAGGGATCCTAACTCGGCTTAAAAGACCTATCTACAGTCCCAACATTTTCAACACACGTACGTTTGGTTGGTTGGTACCTAAACAGCTGAAAGCCACCTCACACACAGGTTTTTGGACACTCAACATAAACTGCAGATTTATTGCAGATCACTCACAAACAGCAATGGGTGTGTGGGGGGGGATCTAAAACCCAAAAAATATGATTTCCAATTTTTCAAAGCAATTGCAAAAGACGCAAAAAAAGATGAATGCAAACTTCAAGGGCTTTTGATGTGTTAATATAATGTTGGTAACAGCAGGCGGGGCTGGACAGGCACAGCATCCGACACCCAGCTGCACAGTGTGAGCTTCTCCACGGTGCACGTTAGCAAATTCGAGGAGGACATTCAATCGTCAAAGAGTGTCAATATTATATATATATATATATACATGTATAGAGATATATATAATGTATACGTATATTGAGTTATATTTATTTAAAGTGAACATTTCACACAAAAGCATTTAAAAGACAATCAGTTGTTTGACAGCTACAAACAGTGATGGACTTATATATTTGAACGAGGCCGGATATTGTTTGATTCTTTTTTCCCCATTTTTGCTTTTAACCCCCAACCCCCTCCCACCCCCCCAACCCCCTCCAACCACCACCCCCCCCCACCCCCCAACCCCCTCCCACCACAACCCCCCCCACCACCTTGCAAAAGGCACGCACCTGGTCCAGTCAATGTTAAAGTTTCCCTATGTGTGTGTGTGTGGGGGGGGTGGGGGTGGGGGTGGGGGGGGTTTGAGGGAGGGGAGTGCAGGAGTCGGGGTAAGTTTACCTGCTGACACCTCCTGGGTACCTCCACATGGGCGACTCGCTGCTGCTGTCGGGTGAGGCGATGCGGGGGCTGTGACTCGGCGGCACCGGGCGGCTGGGAAGGGACAGGTAGTAACGCGCTCTTCTACATGACTTCTTCTCGTCGTATCTCATGTTGCAAAAGCATCGCCCAGAAAGCGCAGTCGGGGTCCGGGGTCCGGGGTCCGGGGTCCGGGGTCCGGGTCGGGTCCGGGTCGGGTCGGTCAGAGCGGGGACTCGCCACTCTCACCGCAGGAACAAACCGGCGAGTCGCGGACCCGCATCTCAGGAGATAACAGGAGGTGATGAGTGAGTGAGTGGAGGGAGTGAGTGACTGTGAGAGAGAGAGAGGAGTCGGTCACCGGTTGCGAGTCACGCAATTGCTTTCGTATTCCCTCCTCTTATGTAAAGTGCGGCTCTCTGTGTGTTTGTCGCTCAGAAGGTCCGAGAGAGACGAACCCCCCCCCACCCCCCACCCCTCCTCCCCCCCCACCACCCCCCACCCCCCACCCCTCCTCCTCCCCCACCCCTCCTCCTCCCCCCCACCCCCCACCCCTCCTCCCCCCCACCACCCCCCCACCCCCACTGGAACCAGATGTGGGATTGATTCTTTTCCCCCTCCCGCTCCCGAGAGAGAGAGAGAGAGAGAGAGAGAGAAAAAATAAAACCTGTCCGACTAGAAGTGGAGGAAATGATCCACTGACCTAAATATTTTCCCAAACATCTGTGACCTTTTTCTGGCTCCTGTGTGTGTGTGTGTGTGTGTGGGGGGGGGGGAGGGGGGAGGAGACGGGCGCGGATCCAAGGAGCGGAGCCAAGTGCTCACTGCGGCAGGGAGGGGAGTGTGGGGGGGAGTGTGGGGGGAGTGTGGGGGGTGTCAGGGGGGGAGGTGTCAGGAGAGCCTGGACCCGGCGCCGGGGATTTCACGGCGCCTCTCTCTCCGCGCCTTTGGAAGCGTTTTTCATTGCAAACGTGGAATAAAAAAACACGCCATCAAAACCCCCACCGCCGGGTGAGGGGCGGCGAAGGTGGGCGCCGCGCGGGGTCCCCGGGCAGACCCGGGGTCCACCCCCCCCCCCCCCTCCCTTCCCCGCCCCTCCCCACCTCTCCCGCCTGTGGTTCGCTCCGGGAATGACAGCTCCGGTGACGCTGTACACACAGTGAGAAGTGCGCTCTCTTCTCTTTTAGAAAGTAGGTCAGTGCTTTTACAACTTCAGCTCTCAATCTTTCTCTCCCTCTCCCTCTCTCTCTCTCCCTCTCTCTCTCTCTCCCTCTCCCTCCCTCTCCCTCTCTCTCTCTCCCTCTCTCTCTCTCTCTCCCTCTCTCCCTCTCCTCTCTCTCTCTCCCTCTCTCTCTCTCTCCCTCCCTCCCTCTCTCTCTCTCTCTCCCTCCCTCTCTCCCTCCCTCTCTCTCTCTCCTTTCCGCCATTCCGCTGGAATTAACCGGTGGTTATATAAGACGTTGCGACATTTGCAAAAAAAATAATAAAGCAATCATCAGCTTAGTCGCCGAGGGCTGCTGTTCCATGCAGTTGACAGTATTATTATTATTATTATTATTATTTGCTTTGCAAAGGGTTTCGCTTCGCAAGAGTGGCTGTTCGCTGTCACCATATATGTGTATGTTTTTTTTTAAAAAAAAGCTCTCCAGATTGGAAGTGAACTGTAAACAAAACAAAGAGATTGCATCTGCACGTAATCACTTAACATGGCCTGTCTCAGGGGTAAACAGAACATGGTTGTTATGGTGCTGGGCAGTGGGTCTCACGTCTGTGAAGGGCAGTCCAACAACAACAACAACAACAACAACAGCAACGACAGCAAATTGCATTTGTAAAGCGCCTTTCGCACCGGGTGTTGAACCAGAGATGAGCGACACGGGGAGTTAAGCGCAGAGAGTTTTGCGTGTTGAGGAGACGGGTCGAGACCTTTTCTTTAACATGATTCATCGAGTGCCTTTCGGTCTGTTCAGCGGCACGGTTGGAAGATGTAACCGACTCATCCAAATGTTTCTCCTGTACACCGACGGCTCTGTTCGCACGTTACTGCATTCCAACCCCCTTTTATGAGACAGGTTTGTTCTTAAGGTGGGTATACTGTGGACCAGCCAGCTTCTTGCACCCTCTGGGACGCCCACCCTGCGTGAGGGACGCTACATAAATGCAAGTTGTTGTTGTTGATGTACGCTAAAAAATGGCAGCCTTCCGGCTTGTCAGGTTGCCAGTGACGTCAACAACAACAACAACAAACAAAAATTACATTTGGATAGCGCCTTCCCAAGGACGACCCAAGCTGCTGGACAGTCGGGTGTTTTGGACCCGAGCTGGGGGTCGGGGAGGGTGGACGGCAGTGTGATCAAAGGCATGGTTGAAGAGTAGGGTCTTGATATGGGTCTTGTAGGAGGCAAGGAAGGGGGTGAGGTGGAGGTACTGCATGATGGAGTTCCAGAGGGTGAGGGCAGAGTGACTGAAGGCCCACCCGCCAATAGTGGGGAAGGCGGGGTGGGGGCCGTGAAGCAGGCCAGAGCCCGCTGAGCGGAGGAAGCAAAGAGAACTGAAGTTAAAATGATACTACAACAGGAACATCAGCTCCTGTGCTTGTGTATACTGCATGCGACTCGCGTCACTTCAGGAGACATAGAATCATAGAGATTTACAACAACAACTTGCATTTATATAGCATCGCTCACGCAGGGTAGTGTCCCAGAGCGCTTGACAGTGGCAGAGCACAACGGTGAACTGGGGAGAGGGGGAGGTGACCATAAGCACGGTCAAAGAGGAAGGTCTTCAGGTGAGACCTGAAGATCGGGAAGGAAGGGGCAAGACGGAGGGATAGAGGAAGAGTGGAGTGGAGCCTGGCTAGAACTGGTGTGATGGGGGTACAAAGTTTAGTGCGGGTGAGTATGCTGGTGGCAGAGTTTTGGATTAGCAGGAGAGCTGGGGAGACCGGGAAGAAGGCATTTGAAAACTTGAATCGGGAGGTAATGAACACATGGACGAGTGTTTTGGCTGCATCTGGGGTAAGGTACAGTCAGAGGTGGGCAATGTGGCAGAGGTGGAGGAAGGTGGTACTGGTCAGGGACCAGATGTGGGGAAGGAAGGACAGCCAGGGGTCAAACCTGACACCGAGGTTGCGCACTGGTTCGGTAAGTCTGAGGGATAGGCCGGGAAGGTTGAGGAGTTTGGAGTCACAGGACAGAAGACATTGATGGGAGCCAGTCAGTATGGTTTCCGTCTTGTCAACATTTAGTTGTAAGAAGTTTGCACTCATCCAGGCCCTGATGTCTGCCAGATAAGCTGATAGAACATCGGCAGGTCTGGAGTCATAGTTGGAGGAGAAGTAGATGTGTGTGTCATCCGTATTCATGTGGAAATTTACCCCGTGCCAGTGGTTGACATCACCCAAGAGGGAGCTTAGGAAGAGGAGGGGGCCAAGGATGGAGCCCTAGGGTTCACTACAGGTGATTGGGCAGGGAGGGGAGGGGCAAACCATTTGAAGAGACAAAGTGAAGGCGGTTTGTTTTTACAGCCATGAAGGAGGCCATTTGGCCACTGGCACTGGCTCTAAGAGCAAGCTTTCATTCAATCCCACTGCCCAATCTAATCCCATTCTACTTTAAGCTTTTAGTGGAAGTGTCACAAGAATCCCTTTGTGAAGGAAGTATTGTCAGGGGCATTTTGTGCACACAGTACACAGGAAGTGAAGTCAACGTAATGACTTAGAAGTTGGCCATGTCTAAGCATAGGAAGGATATATGCAACGTGCAGGAAATGACGTCAGCAGTGACTTGAAAGTTTGCCATTTTCTTGAGTTTAGTTATAATACGGAGCCTGACATCTAGGCGGCCACATTGTAATGCAATTGTTCTGTACCAGGCTCACTCTCCTGGTTCCCTACTGTTGCAGATGGACTTCAAGATCTTCATACTGACCTGCAATTTTCTTCATGATCTTGCCCTCCCTATCTTTGTTCTCTTGTTTGCATGCTCTTCTGGCGCAGTTGGTAGCAATCTCGCCTCTGAGTCAGAACGTTGTGGGTTCAAGCCCCACATCGGAATCACATAGTCTAAGTTGACGCTCCAATGCAGTGCTATGGTGTGTTGCATTGTCGGAGATGCCGTCCTTCGGATGAGATGTTAAACCAAGGTCCTGTTCAGGTGGATGCTAAAGATCCCATAGCACTATTCAAAAAGAGAAGGGAGTTTCTCCTGGTGTCTTGGCCATCAGCCCCCAAATAAAATAGTATGCTGCATGCCACTCGTGTCAATTGAACAGGAATAGAATCCATTTCACATTGGTCACACATTCTACCACGACTGTCAAAGAATTTTATTGGGTCACTTTGATATGATCTACCTTTCACAAAACCGTGTGGATTTCCTCTTCCTCACCACAAACCAGATCAAGCCCAGTAACATCAATCTAAGTGTCTTTGGAAATCCACAAGTGTATAAAACCACAGAAACAATTTGATCTTGTATCTGTTTCCTTACACTGTTCAAAACCTTTGACAAATTGAAAGCTACAGGAAAAAGACATGTACCATCGTCTCCTGATCAGCTCAAATTTCTCTAAGTGCTTAGTAAGCACTCGGGGACGCCACCTGGCATGGAGGGCACTATATAAATGCAAGTTGTTGTTGTTATAAATACTACCTAGTCAGTAATTGGAGTACAGGATCAGTAATAATATCCAATGGTAGCTGCCAAATATAACATGCAGCAGGGTAGCTAGAGATTGAAGTCTCACATTAAATATCTGCAGTACTTAAGTTCTTGGTCAGTGAACTACTTATATGGGGAACATGAATTTACATCAATATTCTACAAACACTCTCATCTCTCCAGTTCTTTCAAGTTTCTTTTGGTATACCTGTGCTTATCCTGTGAGTGACATCAATGGAGGTGAATGGCATCATCTTCCACTTTTGTTACTCAGCATAAGAGGAAAGCAAGCATAACTGGGTAAGGCATAACATAGAAAGAGGCAGAACAAAACCATCTCTGCTACTAAATTTCACCTTAATCCTAATATCAGAAAGACACCTTTATTGTACCAATGTAGATTTGGTATTTCCCATATCAAC